AGAAACGTCCTGATAAAATTGCAAAACAAAGTATTATAAAAGGTAGTGGCTAGAAATGGAAGGCCAAAACCCACACTTGGACTTTAGATGTTTATTTTATAATTCCTAGTGACTATTAACGTAAATCTGAAGTTTTGGTAGAAAGGAAACACTTTCTAACTATATAAGTTCATATAAAAGAAGTACATTTTGAAATGTTCCTGTAGCCCCGTGAAAAAGTAACCATGCCTGTACCACAACAGTAGGGGAGTACATATGCTTGGATCATGTCTGTAGAATAAGACATAAACTCTCATGTCAAGATGCATCTATTCAAAGTCTTAAAGCCCAGTGGGAGAAAGTGCTGGGCACCGAAGGATGATAAAGGGAAAGAGAAGCAGAAACTCTGTTCTTTTGGAATTTTTAAAACTCACCTATCCAATTATATAGAGGCTAGGAGATGTGTTAATTTCTTGAAGAAGAAAGTGTGGCGTCTCACTTTATTTGCCCCGGCATCTTTTTTTACATATCTCCTTTTTACAGATCTCCTTTTACATAATAACTACTGAGTGGCTTGAATGGATAAGGAAGTGATAGGACATTGACAGGTACAGTAGCCATACAAGAGAAAAGGCTTTTTATTTATTTTATTTTATTTGAGACAGGGTTTCTCCGTGTAGCTTTGGAGCCTGCCTTGGCACTTGCTCTGTAGACCAGGCTGGCCTCAAACCCATACAGACCTTCTTGCCTCTGCCTCCCAACTGCTGGAATGAAAAGTGTGTGTGACCACCACTGGGTTAGAAAAGGCTTTTAAAAGTCCAGAGTAGTATTCCATTGCGTGCATGTGCCACATCTTCTTTATCCATTCTTCAGTTGAGGGGCATCTAGGTTGCTTCCAGGTTCTTGCTATTACAAATAGTGCTGCTATGAACATAGTTGAACAGATGTCTTTGTTGCATGGATGTGGATCATTTGGGTATATGCCTAAGAGGGGGAATTGCCGAGTCCTGTGGTAGACTGATTCCCATTTTCCTGAGGAACCGCCATACTGATCTCCAAAATGGCCGTACAAGTTTGCCTCCCAGCAGCAGTGTAGAGGGGGCTAGGAGAAAGAGAAAGGGAGGAGAGGAAAGCACGTGGGACTAGGAAGACTGAGTCAGGGGAGTAATAGATGAGAGAGAGAGACAGAAAGAGAGAGAGAGAGAGAGAAAGAGAGAGAGAGACCATAAAAGAGGGATCCTTTATAGGTTTTAAGAGAAAACTGACTCTAGAGAAATATTCAGAGACCTGGAAACAGAAGCAGACACCCACAGCTAAACACTGCGCCAAACTGGAATCCAGATGCAAAGAGGTAGGACAAGGCCGGGTTACAGAAACACACAGAGACAGCTGACCTGAACAAGGGGGAACTAATGGGCCTCCAGACTGATAGCTGGGAAACCAGCATTGGACCGACTCAGACTTTCTGAACATGGGTCTCAGTTAGAAGGCCTGAGCAGTCTAAGGGACCTCGGACAGTGGAACCAGGATGTATCCCTGGTGTACAAAAGGACTTTGGGAGCACATTCCCCATGGAGGGATACCCCCTTAGCCTAGAGTCAGGAGGGAGGGCCTAGTCCCTACTCCAAATGACTTGACAGATTTAGATGACCCCTCCAGGAAGGCATCACCCTACTTGTGGAGTGGGGGGGTATGGGATGGGAGGGTGGTCAGGGGATATGGGAGGGAGGGAGAGAGGGAGGGAGGAAGAAATAAAGGGAGGGAGGGATAGAAGGAGGGAGAGGGAACTGGGATCGATATGTAAAATAAGAAAAAAAAGTTCAGAGTAAAGATAGGTTTGATGGTGTGAGCAGAAGAGATTCTGGGAGCTTCGTTAGATACATCATCCTGACATTGTACTTACATGTCATTTCCACGCAGAGGGAAAGACTTAGATGGGCACTAGATTAAGTGAAGCCTTTGTAGTGAGCCAAGTGCTAAGTCCCATGTTCAAAAGAAAGGATATCATGGCTTTTTGTTTTTGACAGAATCATGTATTCCACACAGCGGGACTGCTCGAGCGTGGGTCATGACACCAGCATTCCCTAGGTGTATGTCCTAATCACAACACTCTTTCCTTCAGTTCCCTTTTCATTAAGACAAGAGATGACAGAACCTGCTTCATTGACTTGTTGGGAAATTCAACTGGCTCCTATGTGTGAAGTATTTACAAAAAAAAAAAAAAAAAAAAAAAAAAACACATTTGTACTTTGTCCTGCTTTCTGCAATGTAACATAAACTTACTACAGTTGTGTTTGGATGGGTGGATGGATGGATGGATGGATGGATGGATGGATGGATGGATGGAAGACGATCACAGGGTTTCTGGTATAAACAGTCAAAACAGTCAGGTCATAGAATGATCTTTCATGTCAGGATGTGAGTTCTTTCGCCCTGTTTCTTACAGGAATGATATGGATCCCACTTTCATTATGCTCATCTTGGCCCATTTTTCACGTTTCCATTTTGGTCTCATGTTGTTTCAAACATGCCTCTTGAGAATAACATGCCATTGTAATCCTCTAAAGTTCCTCTGTTTTGGGTGTGGGAAAAATGGCTCAGTGGTGAAGGGTGCTTACTCCTTTTCCAGAGGACTCGAGTTTGGCTCTTAGTGCTTTAAGTTGTTTGGCCCACAACTGTAACGAGTACGGTTTTTCTGCCTGCCGCCTGGTCTTGTCCTGCTGCTGCGCCAGCCCCAAATAATACACAGAGACTCTGTATTTGATACAATACTGTTGGCCTGGTTACTTGTTTCTTATCGGCTAGCTCTGCCTTAATTATTAACCCATTTCTGCTGATCTATGTATTTTCACATGGCCTTCTCTTACCGGGGAGACGGCTGGCGTCCAGCTCTCTCCTGACTCTCCATCTTGACTCCCCTTACTACTTCCTATTTCCTCCTTGTCTCCTAGTCCCTCCTATCTTCCTTTCCTATTGGCCAACAGTGCTTTATTATTAACCAGTATGAGAAACATATACAGAATGACATCTCCCATCACACAACCATCTGTATCACCAGCTCTCTGTATCGCCCTCTCCTGGCCTCTGTGGTACTTGTGGCATACACACAAGACAGACACACGTGCACATAAATAAAAATAATTATTAAAAATCTTCAAAGTTGCCTGGCAGTGGTGGTGCACACCTTTAATCCCAGCAATCAGGGAGGCAGAAGCAGGCAGATCTCTGTGAGATCAGCTATGTCTATGTGTTTCTGCAGTGTGGTCTTGTCCTCCCTCTCTGCATCTGGATTCCAGTTTGGCTCAATGTTTAGCTATGGGTGTCTGCTTCTGTTTCCATCAGCTACTAGATGAGGGCTATTATTACCCATTGCTTTATTCCCTTTCTTTATACTTTGCTCCATTTTTTTTTTGTATACACCAACATAGTTACCAGTGTTTCCAGCTGTGATTTAAAATGTTAGACATTCTCTTTAGGCTTTTTAGAGACTTTCTAAAGGCTCAAAGTCCACCTTTCTCTAGCTCTCAGTTAAGCTAGAGATTTACCATCACCTTCTATGAGACCCACTTCCGGAAATGATACTGTGATAGCTTGGGAAACAGTGCTTGCATATTTGGGGGATGGTTTATTTTTAATTTATCACCCAAATCTTCATTATATTTCCTGGGAATTGTGCCTGCATTGGCATAGCGCATCCTTTTCTTGTTTCTATTGATGCTGTACATCTCTCTCCTTCACCCTCCTTCATATTTTTGTCACGTCAGTCAGGAGAGTGTGTGGCAGGTTGTGCGGAAGCCTCTATTTTGACAAAATTTGACAGAATATTTTGAGTGGTTTGTTAGGAAACAGGAAATGGTTGACCTGGATGTGACAGGAAATTATATCACATAATGTACAATTTAAGAATGGAAGTGTTTATGTCTTGAGAAGGGAAAATGTAAGAGAGACATGAGACGCTACCTTCAGCTGGACAAAGGGATGACATGTAGCTCAAGAAATTGCTTCTGTGGCAGGTAAATTACTCCTATCCAAGCCACTGAGAGGAGGCGACGTGATTGGATGTAGGATCGAGCAATTTAATTTCTAAGGTCATTTCCTACCCTATGTTTCTGCCACTATAGGCTTGATAGTTTTGAAATGTGAAGTGAAAAAGAATTTTATTCTTCAAATTTAGTTTGCTTAAGGATTTGAATAGAACCTTTATTAAAAACACAGCCGAGTCTAGAAACTTTGATTTAAGCTTGAGGTACGATATAGAAATTCATATGTAACAATGTAGGTCTATATTTAGATAGAATAGGTTTACTAAATTGTTGCTCTTTGGAGTTTTTTTTTAAAATATAATCTTGGACTATATTTATGCAATATCATCTTTATTATAGTGACCAGTGCTTTAAAACACCTTAAGGATTATCATAATGAAATGCAGTTAATCTAAAATTTGCATGATGTGATTTAGAGTTTTGTCAAAACAGAAAATGATATGATAAATGTGATAAGTAATGTAAACTACTATGTATAAAACTACTGTTTTGGGTCCTCGGGGAAGCAGATCCTAAGATGGAGTAAGAATCAATAGAGAAAGGGGAGAAAGACAGAGGGCATCAAAGAAAGTCTCCAGACTTGCAGAAGATAAAAGAGTGAATGTAAGAGCATTGGTTGTGGAAGATACAAAACTGTTAAGAACACTTAGTGCATATCAACTAAGAGTTGCACAAAATTATTTTATCTTACGTGTTGGAGAGCTGAGGACTGAGTTTGATACCCAGCAATCACATAAGGTGGCTATAGTCATCTGTAGTTCCAGCTCCAGAGGGATCCGACACCTCTGGCCTCCAAGAGCATCCATACTCGTGTCCCCCCCCCCCAGCAGTCATAACTCAAAAAATAAAAATATTAATGTAATTAGGTGAATTAATATAATTAAAAAACAAAACAAAACAAAAAAACAAAAAAAATCTCTGCTTTTTAAAAAACTGTGGATTTTGACAACTCAAGAGTCTTTCATGTTATCCCTCTAGTTTGGCGTCAAGAAGAAGTTGCACAAATTGACCAATATTTAACTCAAGCTGAAAGGAAGGCTGCTCTGTGCGAACTTTTGGAAAAAGAGACACAGATAATTGCTTCCATCGGGAGACATAGATACGTTGCTCATATGGAGAGCCAAGACACAGCTATACAAAGTTTTATGGATAAGGTTAGTGAACTTATTTAAACATGAGTGGGTCCTGAGTTTAGCATTGTGAAATTAGGATCTAAAGGAGACACTGATAACATTTTTGATATTTCTTTAAATCCTATATTTTTACTCTTTTTAATATAGCTGAATACTTGAACTGTACCCTTGAATGGGCTGATAGGGACCATGAGATTTTCATGTGCTCGACCGACGGGATTTGCTCATAGGAGAAAAGGTGGGATGGTTACTTGAATTTGGAGAGTTGCCCACTCTGATGGTGTGTAAAGTAGGAAAGCCCCAGAATGTCTGGGTCTATGGTCTCCAGCTTGGGAAGTTAGCTGGAGACCTATGTGCATGCTTTGGCTCACCACAGCCCCAGTTGGCTGGACATTTCTGACCAACAGGATATATATTTATTTAAAAGCAAGAAAGTATGCAATTAAGGGGAAAACTAAAGTAATTACCATGTTGTGGTCAAACTGCCTGTTCAATATTGAAAGTCGTTTCCATAGTAACAAATTTCCTTTTAGAAACCTGATCTTTCCAGACAATTAAAAGCTAATCCATTCATTTATCCATCCAGAATAAGAAAAGGATACAATTTCCTAAGATACTTGCTTGTTGTGATTCTACTTCTGTGATTCTGGTTATTTGAGATTTCTTTTTCTTAAAAAAACACTTTTAAAAAATTATTTTAGATGCCCTCCTGTTTTCTCATTTGTGCACCCCTTCTACTTGACTTCAGATTATCATTGGCTTTAATTTTAGTTCTGGTTCCAGAACAGATTCTTAGGAACTTTTAAACCATGTGTCCAGTTGTCCAATTCCCACTGTCTCCTACCCTTTTGCAGATCCCGAGTATTCCACAGGGTGATGTGGCAGTCCCAAGCCACCCTCACCTCCATATCTGTAGAGTTCATCTAACCTGTCTCTGTGTGTCTCATCTACTCACTTGACCTAGATAGCAGTTCTCAATATATGGGTTGCAACAGCTTTGGGAACCAGACAACCAACCCTTCCTCAGGAGTTGCCTAAGACCATTGGAAAACACAGATATTTACATTAGGATTTACAACAGTAACAAATTACAGTTATAAAATAGCAATGACAATAATTTCATGGTTGGGGGTCACCACAACATATTTAACAACTGTGTTAAATGTCACAGCATTAGGAAGGTTGAGAACCACTACTCTCGATAGAAACATGGATGTTGTTACTGACTTCTCTACCTGCCTACCAACCTGATTTTTGTTGTTGCTTTGTTTTCCACTAATTATTTATGTGTTCCTTTATGAACTTGCTCTTTTGACTATAGGGAAATGGCTCTGTTCTGCATCTTAAAGATGTTGCCTGTGTCAAATAGGCCATGCAGGCAAAGACATGAACTACAGATGTCTGAGTCTGATCGGAATGCTTTGTAATGAACCTGATACTAGGAGGGTGGGAAGGTATAACAGCTTCTATCTTCTCCCTCCCTACCCCTCCATGGAAATCACCATGAAGTGGGGTTGCCTTTCGTTGTCCGTTGTCTGTCATAATGGATACTCATCTAAGTGAATGTGGTCATCTTCTCATCTGGATCACTTGTTACCACGTGGGGCTAGTCCTGCAGTCTAAATTCTCAGGGCTCTGTCCTGTCATTCAGTCGACTACTGGGAAGACCTTAGTGGGTACATCAGAAGTCCTTCTGGGCTTCTTTGTGGGAACATTGACTTAATCACCTCCTATGCACCCCGTATCCCATTATTGTATTACCATCATCATTGTGTGTGTGTGTGTGTGCCTGTGTGGTAAATGACCCCAGTCATGCTCAGTCGCTTGCATGTCTCTAGAAAGACATTGCCCTCTTGACACTTCTGCATCTGACTTGCCTCTGTGTGTTTTCCTTTCCAGGTTTCTTTGTTGTCTGTCACTTTCCCTTTCACACAAGCCTGAATGCTGCCTCCTTCAGCAAAGAAAGGGTTAATACCCCTCTTTCTTTAGATGATGCTCATTGCTCTCAGGAAACTCAGTCTCACCTCTGACTTTATACACAGCAGCAATTTGTGTTGTATCTAATGTCTTAACCCTTGACTGACTTTCAAGATTTTCCTTTTGAGACAGGGTCTTACTATGTAGCCTTGGTTGGTCTGCGTCTCATTATGTAGACCAGGGTGACCTCGAAGTCACAGAGATCCAAGTGCCTCTATTGTGGAGTGCTGAGATTAAATATATGATGTACCAGCACACTCAACTGTTATGATATTCTTATGATAAGAGATACCTTTTATCTCTATGTCCTCACACCTTCACACATAATCAATACATGTTTATGGAGGAAGACAGGGAAATATGAATAGAAAATAATGGTCTGCATTTCATATTCCAAAATAAAAAACAAGTCATGTTCTTTGTTAAAATTTCACCTTTGTTAAAATTTTCAAATATCTTCCTTCTAGGAAAGACAATTGTGGGAAACTGTAATATCCGTATTTGTGGTGGTTTGGATAAGAATGGACCTCATAGGCTTGTACATTTGAATGTTAAGTCACCAGGATGCAGAACTCTTTGATAGGATTGGAAGGATTATGATGTGTGGCCTTGTTGGAAAAAGTGTGTCCTTGGGGAGGGGAGTAGGAAATGAACTTTAAAAATGCCCAGGCTAGGAGTAGTCTTTCGGCTTCTCTGCCTGAGGATCAGGATGTAGCTCTCAGCTACTTCTCTAGCATCATGCCTTCCATGACTCCTGTCATGCTGTTTACCATGATATTGAAGGACTAACCTCTGAAACCGTAAGATGCCCACAATTGATTGATTGCTTTTTAAAGAGTTGCCTTGGTCACAGTGTCTCTTCATAGCAATAGAACACTGACCAGAACAGTATTTCTCACAATCATATTTCAAAGTAAATTTATTGTTTAAACAAGTTGCTTTATCTTGAACATGCTCAATGCCTAGGGTGGTTTTACATGCTTTTTAACCTTACTAGAGGTGAGGGCATGAAGCTGGTGCAGCCTGAGTGTTTGCAAGAGATGGAGGCTTCTGGGTACCAGTGGACAAGAATGACAGGTAGCACTCATGCATCCTTTTTTTTTTCTAAAAACTTGTCTTCTTTAGGACTATCTCTTTATGATATTCTTTCTTCTTACTATTTCTTATAAGGTAGTCTAAATTCTACTGTAAACCCTTATACAATGTATCTTATTTATGCATTAAGTACTTTGCTACCATATCTTTGGGCGCCATATCTAGTATTGCCTCTATATATGTGGATCATCTATTTATGTATCTATCTATCTATCTATCTATCTATCTATCTATCTATCTACCTACCTACCTATCTATATCTGTGGGTCAAAGCACAAATATGAAACTGATAGAACGAATTGATTACCATCATCCTTTCTCATGAAGTATATATATAGCATACTAAGAAGATTTTTATATGAATTTCATCTAAAATAAAGAAAAATGGATAAATATTATTCAGAAGAATTTCTAACAGGAAGATCTGGTTTTTATTTCTAAATACTTTGTAAAGAGTAGAGTCCAAAGTCTTGAAGGTCTCTTACTATAGGAAGATCTGTCTTATGACAGGGACCTGCTGGGAAGTCCAAGGAGGTGGATTTGGATTTTGATGTTGTCCTGGAAAGTAGACTGAAGAGAAAGCTGGAAGGCAATGAAGGGATTATTTGTTCTTATTGTTAAGTAAATAAAACATCAAATCAAAGTGTGTGTGAGTGTGTGAGTGAGTGTGTGTGTCTGTGTGTGTGTGAAAAGTAAGGACTGAGAAAAACAGAGTAATAAGTGGTTGACACCACTGTAATCCAAGATGATCTGAAGTATGTTTTTGTATATGAAGTTGTACTAAGTATCTAGAAAAGAAGGTAAATGATGCAGACTTTCCTAGAAAATAGTTATGAGAGGTCTGCTCTTCATGTTTGTCCATCCCCTATATCCTCATTCCTCTATCATCTCTAATTTCAAGGAGGGGTTAGTATTCATTTCACAAAAGCTGAAGCAATTTACTGTCTTACTGGATTTTTTGATTGCTGATAAAACAGTTTATAGTTATCCCAGAAGTCAGTTATTTTAGATATTGAAAGTAACATGCAAGCAGGTTTACAATGTAACGTTTGTCATAAAAAACACTATGAAGTAGATACTTAAAGCAAAATTTTAGTTTCTTATCATTTAGAAATAACTTCAAAAGATAAACATTTAATTTAGTTTCAGTTCAAATTTATTTATTCCCAATGACTGTGGGAACTATTGAAAAAGTTTTATTGTTTTATCTTAGACTGAACAGACTATTTCTCTGAATAATGACTGACATGATTTTGTTGGTCTAATCAAGAAATTGAACTAAAGGTCCTTACAGTTCTCCTCTTTGGAAAGATTTTTAAAAATTTAATTTAATTTCATGTACATTGTGTAAGACCCTCAGAATGAGGAGTCTCCCAGTTTCAGTCGGTACCCCCAAGAACTCAATGTCCTGTCCAGTTGCGGCAACACGCAAGAGGCTTTAATGAACAGGAAACATTTGCACAAATGGGCTCCTTCAGCATGCAGGCTGGAAAGAAGCACCATCCCCTGGGCACAGGTGTTTTTAAAGGCAAAACCCACAAGCTTAGGGAGGGGGTGGGACCCTCTGTCCATTGAGTACGTGACCCTTTGAGGTCAGATGGTCTCCCTATTAGGGTCAACAGACCTTAGGGCCTCAGGATGTGCTAATGAATCTTGTCTGGGCAAACCAGAGGTACAGTTATCTCTTTGTTTCTTAAGGACCCTAGTCACCACCTGCTGACTCACAAGAAAGGAGGGGCAGTGTGAATTCTTGGTATCTTGTTATCTCAGTGCCTTGTGAGGGGAAGTTAGCAAATTCCAAGGAACAGATATTGGTCTGGGTTAGCTTTCCAGGTTAGTTTGTCCTTCATTTCAAGTGGGGGGGGTTTCTTTAACTTTTCCTTTTTGTCTTTCAATTGGTGTTTTTGTCTGTGTGTAGGTGTCTGAACTCCTGGACAATTACAGTGGTGAGCAGCCATGCTCTTCAGTCAGTGCTCTTCTGAGCCATCTTTCCAACCTCTACTCTAAAGATCTTTAAAAGCATTAATTAACTTGTAATTTACTGCATCCAACCTTGACTTCTGCAGGTCACTAACCATTAAGATCTGAGAGGTTGACTGAGGTCAAGGAATTCAGGTGGTGACTTCTAAATGAAAGACCACCAGATGGTTTCTGGTTTTAATGTTTTGGGTGCATTTTACCAAACTATGTGAAAAGATCATTTGCATTTCTGTAAGCGATTATCCCTAGAGTTGAGGCCATTCACTTCCTTTCTCACAGTCGTTTCTCACAGTCACAAGCTTAAAAAAAAAAAAAAAAACGCAATTTTTGTGAGCTGTGCCATGTAAATGCTTTTCCTCCATGCTCAGGTGGCCCACAGCTAATGGGATAGAAATAAAAATGCATCTACCTCTCTCTGAGCTGTGCATTTGACAGGGGGTCACTGTGGGTGAATAAAATCCCTTTGCTGTATAAAAGAAAAGTTGATCACAACCCAGTGGCTTTTGGGGGACTTAACGTGATGCTTAATTTGTACCATTGGGGACCTGAGAATTAATTCTGGAGGAAGAAAGGGGTTATTCTCCCAGTCAGCCATTTTTCTTCTCTGGGGAGGTCTGTGCTCTCAAGGCTTTTGCTGCCATCTCCCCTCCTCCCCATCCTGTCCTGCTGTTCTTCTGTTGCTCTGTCCCACAAGCCTCCACTGTCTCATTTGTTGGCAGCTAAGTGGAATTTATTATGTCTCTATTTCTGAAGCCATTTAAGAACACGATTGTTGTACATCTCTTATTATAGCTAAAGCATTCAGGAGAGAGAAAAAAAGCAAAGTTGACATTTTCCCTCATCAGAGTAGGAAAAAAAAAAAAAAAGAAAAAACAACAACTTAAGAACTGAAATCAAAGAAGCCTGTATTTGAAGACGAAGTTATCAGTGCTGGCAGAAGGACAACCAAAGATAAAAACAGCTTTGCTGAACACACACACACACACACACACACACACACACACACACACACACACATTATCTTGTTTGTGCCAGCTCTTGGGGACTGGCACTTTATACACAGGATTATCTGATTATATCATTCAGTTCTCTTGACTCTGGCTAACTCTTGTTTATTCTCTTGGTCTCATTGCAGGAGTTAAGTGCTTTATAGACAGCCCGTCCTCACCTGTTTACTGCAGCTACCAGTCATGCTCATTCTCTACTTCAATTAGCCATTTTCTTATCTTTACATCCCATGAGATCTGAGAGCTTTTGAAATCAGGACAGCGTTTTTTTTTTTTTTTATTCAGTGCCCAGTGCACTAACTAGTGTAGACACAATCAGTGTTTGTTAAGTGAATGAATGAGCACTGTAGACCCTGTGAAAACACAGAATTAGTTGGGAAATTTACTTTTTATAACCTTTTAGTAAAATAAAATTAAAATCATAAAGCACTTATTGAGCAATTGAGATCCAATTTTCTTTGCTATGAATTACTGAACTAGAGGTGTGTGTGTGTGTGTGTGTGTGTGTGTGTGTGTGTGTAACTCTAGAAGGATTTCAAATGTAAGTGATGCTATGAGTTCCAGCTGTAGTACTAGAGAGCATTTCTTGGAACATGTAAGGCTCGCAGGATTTGGATCTACATTTGAAAAAGCCCAAGATATTATTGCAGTGTCTTGCATTCACTGGAGCCATTAAAAAGTCAGTAATTGTGACCAATACTCATTTGCAAGTAGAATTAAATAGTGTAGCAACTGCCAACATACAATAAATTGGACAAAGTAGGCATTTCAGGAACATGTTGTTAGATTATTACAAACGAAACAAGATACCATCCTGCAGAGTAAAAGCCACTGTACTTAGTAATGGTAGAAAAGAAATTACATTTTATAGAGTCATGCTGAGGAAATTAGCATATGAAGATTAAGATATGAGTTAGACTTGAGGATATTACAGATGAAATTTAGCATAATTATTTTAAAACTTAAAAAATGAGCTTTGAGAGAGGCATTGTAATTGAGCAAAATACTCAGTGTCTCTTTCAGTCATATAATTGCATTATTTCTAATGGATAACAATGAAAGTATCTTAATATTAACCTATTTTACATTTGTAACTCTTTAGCCAGCTCAGCTCTAGCCTATCAGCTGTCTAGCTAATATTACATATTATTCTATGTCTGCTATTAGTTATAAGCCAGGCATAGTGTTGCAGCTTGCCATTCTTTAGATACAGACTTGAACTAGAATCTGAAATTTCTACTGGAGGTTACTAGATCTAAGTAACTTTTATTTTACCTGTAACTATAAGGATACTGTTGTTTTGAAAACATATCAAGTATAATTATAAGGGGTAACTTTGTGTTTCTCAATCTAGCATGTTAACAATGGAGGTAAACTGATACCGTAACTAAACTTTTCATTGTAAACTGTCATTCTACATATAGCCTCATATCACTATGAGTTTCCAATGATTTGATCCAACACATAGAGAGCACTGCTTAAATTAAATATTAAACATCTAAGGTTTAAGTGGTTATGTTGTAAATCTGGACACAAGGACTCCAAAGCAATGACTAGTCAGCCTACGGAAACATCCAGTATCTAAGAAGACAGCAGTTGTGATCAACACAGGCTTGCAGAAGGACTATGATGAGGCAAAGAAGCAGAACAGCCTTTTCCTTTAAAGTAAAAGGGAAAACAAATAGCAAGTGACTCCCAAGGGTTACCTAGCGGAAGGAATCCTCTGCTCTCAAACTCATGGTAGGTGGAGACAGATCAGTGCCAAGCATAGTGCATCATTAAAAGCTATCCCAATTCTACATTTAGTAGACAGCTTAGACCCCATGCAGTGTCTCTAACTTTACAGCCTTGGAATCCTTAGGTGAACGTTAGGGCACGTTAACCTGATTGCCCTCAATTCAGGATGTATACTAGGCTGGAGTGCTCTATGCCATATTAGTCAATAGAAAGTGAGAGTTTTTGCCAACACTTGGCAATGGTAGAGTCCTTACCTAGCATAGAAGAAACCTCAAGTTTGGGCCAGTGAAATGGCTCAGTGGTTAAGAGCACTAGCTGCTCTTCCAGAGGTCCTGAGTTCAATTTCCAGCAACCACATGGTGGCTCACAATCATGAGATCTGGTGCCCTCTTCTGGCCTTCAGGTGTACATGTGGGCAGAATGCTGTATACATAATAAATAAATAAATCTTAAAAAAAAAGAAATCTCAAATTCAACCTGCAGTTCATCAAAGATAAATATTGTAGGATTTCTTCAATTATCATTCTTAAATTTTAGCAATACTTTTAGTTATGACTTAAGATAGATTTCCAGTGGATGGGACAAATTTATTATTTTTGGTCTTTAATTAACTATAATTTGCAACAATAATATTATTTTAAAGTGTTCAGCTCCAAAGACCTGGAGGAGACCTGATGGCAAGACCATTGAAATGGACACACAGTTCACTATAAGAGCCAGAGAATTGCAGAGCATCTACAAGTGTATCATGCTAAAAGACCTCTCTCAGGATGAGAGGCTGGACATACTCCTGACACTGAAGCACACTGTGAAGGTATGTCCGCTGTCACACTGTGAAGTTATGTCTGCTGTCACACTGTGAATTTATGTCTGCTATCACACAGTAAGGTATCTGCTGTCACAGTGTAAGGTATGTCTGCTGTCACACTGTAAGGTATCTGCTATCACACTGTAAGATATGTCTGCTGTCACACTAAGGTATCTGCTGTCACACTGCAAGGTATGTCCACTGTCACACAGTAAGGTATGTCCACTGTCTCACTGTAAGGTATCTGCTGCTATCACACTGTGAAGTTATGTCTGCTGTCACACTGTAAGGTATCTGCTGTTACAGTGTAAGGTATGTCTGCTGTCACACTGTAAGGTATCTGCTATCACACTGTAAGGTATGTCTGCTGTCACACTAAGGTATCTGCTGTCACACTGCAAGGTATGTCCGCTGTCACACAGTAAGGTACGTCCACTGTCACACTGTAAGGTATCTGCTGCTATTACACTGTAAGGTATGTCTGCTGTCACTGTGAAGTTATGTCTGCTGTCACACTGTAAGGTATGTCTGCTGTCACACTGTAAGGTATGTCCGCTGTCACACAGTAAGGTACGTCCACTGTCACACTGTAAGGTATCTGCTGCTATCACACTGTAAGGTATGTCTGCTGTCACACTGTGAAGTTATGTCTGCTGTCACACTGTAAGCTATGTCTGCTGTCACACTGTAAGGTATGTCTGCTGTCACACTAAGGTGTCTGCTGTCACACTGTGAAGTTATGTCTGCCGTCACCCTGTAAGGTATCTGCTGTCACACTTTGAAGGTACGTCCACTCTCTTTCTTAGGTTTCAAGTCAGGGCCATCATCAATAAAAAGATCAGCTGATCAGAGATACTGGAATCAACAAGTTTGTCCCCTTCCTTCCTTTCTTCCTTCCTTCTTTCCTCCCTCCCTTCCTTTCTTGTTTCCTTATTTCTTCCTTCCCTCTCCCTCCATCCCTCCTTGCTCCCTCCCTTCTTCCTTTCTTCTTTCCTTTCTTTCTTTTGCAAGATAGGGTTTCTCTGTGTAACAGCTCTGGCTGTCCTGGAACTAGCTTTGTAGACCAGGTTGGCCTCTAACTCATAGAGATCCACTTGCCTCTTCCTCCCAAGTGCTGGAATTAAAGGTGTGTACCACCACTGCCCTGAAAGTGCTTTTTCTTTAAGTAATTATAAAGTTATTAATAAATGTTTACATACATGAAATTGTATAGACAGCTAAGTTATTTTGATAATTTTGGGATAAAAATGGCTTATGAATTAATACTTCACGAAAACCTATCAAAATCTTGTTCTATGCCGATAACAATGAAGCACAAAGCGTGGGTCTGATTTGCAGGCTTGAAAAAATTATATGCATATTTTATGATGACATAATAACATATAAACATAGTACATTCAAATGCAAATCCATCTTTTATATAGCCATATAAATTTTTGGTTTTAAAAATAATATAAGCCACGTAAGCCATGATTTTAAAAATGGGACTAAGAAACAGCAATTGTTTTCTGCATTTTGGACAAATTTCAATGAGAAGCTGTCCTTAGTCATTACAAATTTTATCTATTGTTATTGCTAGTGTGTGTTTGTGCATGTGTGTCACAGTGCACACGTAGAGGTCACAGCTAATTTTCAGGGTTGATTTGGTTGATTTTTCTCCTTCCTCCCCTGAGATGGGTAGATGGAAACCAAGTCAGCAAGCTTGCCTTGCAAGTGCTCTTACCACTGAGCCACCTAAATGCTCTGTGTTTTAGAGGTTGTTTAGTCACTCGATATGTGTTTGCCTCCCCTCCCCCATATATTATTAATTTTCTGCCTTTAACTGAAAATTATATAGTGGGTGTCATGGGTCAGGTTTCCTCCAGAAATAGACTCCGAGAAGGATTTGAAATCAGAAGTTTTCCTGGGCATGCTTGAATATAGAAAGTAGATAGAAAAATGTTCATGTCATCATTTGGACACCAAAAGCGAGCACAATCGCTTCAGTTTCACTAGAACTTTGAAGCTGGGCATGCGGTGAGGAGTTGCCCTGTGTCAGAGCAAGGGGAAGGACTGTTACTTGTTTCACTGAATTAAGGGTGTGAGTTTGCCCTAAGTAGTCTCTGGAAGCAGCACTCATCAAGTGACTGAGTTGAGGGTTGTCTTCCCATAAATTACCAGGAGGGGGCGAGTGAGAGCTTCAAGTCCGGCTACAGAACACAGGCAGCTGCTGCTCTTATCTACTTCCTTGATGATCCCTTCCTCTGATTTGGATGGATTTTTTTTTTTTCTGAATAAAATTATAGTAATGAGGTTACTAAACTAAGTACAGACTCTGTTGTACTTACAGGCTTCAATGCCACAACAGACTCCCCTGTTTTTCCTCTGCTATTCATTTTAATGTTTCCTCACCCTGAATTAGCACGGATGGCTTCACAACGTTCCTGCCCCTCCTTGGGGCTTAAGAACTCTAGAATACAGGGCAATGTGTTCTTCTCTCAAAATTATGCAAGTCTTTACCAGGAGATACCCAGATCTGAGTGCCAAGTACACGATTCCTTATCCCCAGGGGGTAATAACACCTCCAGTATTTTTTGGAAATCAGAGTCAGTTACCTTTATAAGGATGTAGACACTGTCCTCTCCAGATCTCCCTACACGGGGAGAATTAGAGCTCAAAGGAGTTTTTAAACTTAGGAATGAGGGACGTTTAAACTTGAATTGTCCCAATTTTAAGGCGCAGAAGGCAAACTATCTCCAAGAAGTAAGTGGAGCCGTCCCTGTCCCTGCTCCCGCCACCCCCAGGTGAGGGCAGTTTCAGAGGGTTCCATTTGATCTTCCTGGTTACACTACCTCACAACTCAATATAATCAGAGAAAAGGAGGCTGTGCCAACTCCAGCATATTCCATTTCAGATACACAATCACAGAACAGATGAACAACTCTGACTCTCTCTCTGAACCTCCTGAATCTCTTCTGAGAGCTCGACCCAGGCCAGAAATCCATTTGCTTTTCATTCCCATTTACTCTGGGTTCACATGGAAATCCTGGTGCATTTTTTTGTCCTTAGTTGATTAGTTATTTGATTCAGAATGTCCCTGAGATGACGCCTGGCACCATGGCTTTGAGCAAGGCTAGATTTTGGGCTAATATAGTAGTTAACTTCAGCCAAAATAGCCATGGGCAGTCTCAGAGAGGAAGTAGGGAGGGAGAAGGGGGAGGGAGGGAGGAGAGGTGGGGAGAGGGAAAGAGAGAGGAGCATGTTAATGAAGAATTCTTGTCTGCTACATGCCAGAGCTAGTAGTGGTTCAGGCCTGACATGTGGGGGGAACTTCACTCCACTTGCTGCAAGGTGTGCTCTCCATATTCCTAAAGGCAGGAAACACACACACACACACACACACACACACACACACACACACCATGGAAAGACATTCCATCATCACTAGGACCTGTAGTACTCTTGCATTTGATGGATTAGAATGAAGTAATCTTGGTCATATACCATAGGGATTGCTGGGGAAATTAAATGAGGGATTCAGGCACAGTGTTTGGTTTTTAAGTTGTGTTCTGAGTTGTTGAAGATAAGCTCTTGGCAGCTTCTCTTTTTGTGACATAATTGTGACATAATGTGACATCACCTGTTTATGAGTGATCATCAATATGAAATAATTAAAGTTTGGACATAAGTAATGGATTAAATAACTGTGTGGTCAGTCAGTTTTGCCATCGGTGTGACCCACAGTTAAAAGCAAGTGCGTATAGACATCTCAATAAAAGACAGTGTTGCACTAAAAATAACAACTGGATGTATTTAATGTCATCTAACCAAATTGCTTGTTGGCAAGCCTGAGATGTTAAAATTGTAACTTGAAGATAGTTCCATTGGGTTCTTTGTCCCTTAACTACATAGAACTCTTCTGTTGAGCAAAGTCAGAACCCCAACACACAAGAGTCTCAAGACACACTAGTGAGTTAGATAATTAGTTCACAGGTTTGATGCATTTCTGCTTGTCTGGGGAGAAGAGGGATGAGTTGCCTTTTCTCTGGGCTACTTTTGCAAAGATGCTAGTGTTGTGAACAGCCCTGGCAGAAACCTCCTTAGACAGAAAAAAACAAAAAACAAAAAACAAAAAACAAAGTTGAGATACAGGATACAGGACAAGGTTGGCAAAGAGACAGAGTGAGCACATGTAGGGAATCCTGGGAATCCTGGTAATTAGGAACAATCCCTAGTCAACTAAAGAGGCCAGAGATGAATTCCAAAGATAACCCATGTGTCTGAATTTGTTTAATCTATTGGGATGAAATTCATTTAACAACATATTTAAGAAAGATAAAGGAATAAACATAACTCAAATTCTGACTCCATTGACCTAAAATAAGCTTAATAACATTAATTAATCTACTTGAAGATGTCTATGTGCATCAGCCCATTCAAATATATACTAATAAAGACCGATGAGTATACATACACTAGATTCACTTAGAGTTTCAGAGCCAGACAGAAATGCACACAGAGGGGAGGGGAGAGAGACTGAGACAGAGAAAACATGGATTCCTGTTGGTTTGTTTTTTTTTTTTCAAAAATAAAGATTTAAAATAACTGTACTGAGTACTTCTGTGTTTTGTATAGGAACATGAGTGCAAACTGACCCAAGAAATCCTAGAATTGATTGACAGAGAAGTTGACCTTATGATGAGAGGAGTCAAACCTCATAATCTTGAAGGACTCAGAAAAAGGATTACGACACTCTTTTTTCACTACATCAAAACACCTCTGTTTAATCCTGAAGTTGCAAGATATCTTAAGGTACTGTCTTTACTGTACTTATTTTCAAAGTCCCAAGATGTTATACTGTTAATCGAAAGATATTCAATGACTGTTTCTATATTTTAGTACAAATTTAAGTAAGAGCATCCACTGAGTGAGACATCTGGATTTAGTAATGTTGATAAACTCAACTTTCCCATTAACCTCTTCTGTATATGAAATATCTCCCCTGAATCCTTTCCTGAGGGCTAAATTTGCTTTCCAGTTGTTGCATAGATTTGAAGACGCAATGATCTCCCAGATTTTGCCTCCACCCACAGTGCTGTGCTCTGTTTGCTCCAACCAACTCCTACCCATTTTAAAAAACCAAGCTCTTGCTGCTTTTCTCTCTTGAGGCCTCAGAGAGAATTGGCCTTTCTACTTCTAAAATTCTCCTATTGTGTCTCGTCTGTCTTCCTCGAGCATGTAGCATGCAAGTGTAAGTATCAGTGACTGGATTCACAAAGACAGCCCAAAGAACTCCAAATGGAGCTTGTATTTGAGTTCAATTATATATTCTCACTCCACTATGATTATGTTTTTAGGGGATATGTATGCCTCATTATTTTCTTACAAAACTATTTAACAAACTTTAGTATATTGGGAAGTTTCATTAACGAGTCATAGTTGTAGGAGTTTTTTTTTTTTTTTTTTTTTTTTTTTTTTTTAAGAATTATAATCCAGGGTATTGATTATCTTTAGATTTTTAGCAAAACACTTCAAAAATGTAGACAAAAATCTAGGAAAACAAAACATGCTCACTATTCATATTCTATTTAATTAATTAGAAAGTGATTGTGCTGTTAAAAAGACTGGAGGAAAAGTTTCCCATTGTATTACTTGAGGTATAACCAGCACAGCCTAGGATATGGACAGAATAACTACAATTATCCCCATGTGTCTGGGAGCTACCCCTTGCAGCCAGTCACTGTCTGCATTTATCCTCCTACCACCATTCTCCAGAGTGGACTAGTCGTGATCAGAGCAGTTACTCTCAGCAGAACCCCTATGGGCAGCTGGGCAGCTATGGACAGCAGAGTAGCTATGGGCACCAGTCTGACACTGTAACCCTCCTCAGACTGGGTCCTACAGCCAGGCTTTCAAAGTCAATAAGGCGAACAGAGCAGGAGCTATGGGCAGCAGAGTTCATTGCGCCAGAACAGATGGAAGGCAGAAGAGGCAGACATGGAGGACTTGGGAAATGGATAAAGATGAGCACCGTCAGGAATGTAGAGCTTGGCCCTACTGGAGAGACCTGCAGAACAGCATTGATGACCAGATTTATTTTTATTTTTTTCTTCTTTCTTTTTTATTTTTATTTTACATATCAATCCCAGTCCCCTTTCCTTCCCCCCCTCTTTTCCTCTCTCCCACCCTCTCATGCCCCCTGGCTACCCCCCCCCCCCCCACGTAGGGTGATGCCTTCTAGGCGAGGTCATCTAAGTCTGTCAAGTCATCTGGAGTAGGGACTAGGCCTTCTCTCTTGTCTCTAGGTTAAGGGAGTATCCCTCCATGGGGGATGTGCTCCCAAAGTCCTTTTGTGCACCAGGGATACATTCTGGTTCCACTGTCCAAGGTCCCTTAGACTGCCTAGGCCTTCTAGCTGAGATCCATGTTCAAGGGGTCTGAGTCAGTCCAGTGCTGGATTCCCAGCAATCAGTCTGGGGACCCATTAGCTCCTCCTTGTTCAGGTCAGTTGTCTCTATGTGTTTCTGTAGCCTGGTCTTGTTTTTCCTCTCTGCATCTGGATTCCAGTTCAGCTCAATGTTTAGTTGTGAGTGTTTGCTTCTGTTTCCATCAGCTACTAGATGATGGATAAGTTAGTCATCGATCTCATTATCAGGGAAGGGCTTTTATGGTAGCCTTTCCGCTGTTGCTCAAATTGTTAGTTGGGGTCAGTCTTGTAAGTCTCTGGACATTTCCCTAGGTTCAGTTTTCTTTTCAAACCTATAATGGCCTCCTCTTTTATTCTCTCTCTCTTTCTCTCTTTTCTCTGATCTATTCCTCCCCTGACTCATCTTCCTAGTCCCACGTGGTTCCCCCCCTTCTCTTTCTCCTAGTTCCCTCTCCACTCACTGCCACCCCCCACTCCCTATATGCGCAGGAGATCTTGTCCCTTTCCCCTTCTGTGAAGGACCTTATATGAATCTCTTAATATCCTCCTTGTATTCTAGTTTCTCTGGCAGTATGAATTATTATATGTCTATGTCTAAAATTCATATATGAGTGAGTACATACCATGTTCCTTTTTTTTGTGACTGGGTTACCTCATTCAAGATGGTTTCTTCAAGTTCCATCCACTTGCCTGCCAAATTCAAGATTCCATTGATTTTTTTCCCACAGAGTAGTATTCCATTGTGTAAATGTGCCACGTCTTCTTTATCCATTCTTCAGTTGAGGGGCATCTAGGTTGATTCCAGGTTCTTGACATTACAAATAATGCTGCTATGAACATAGTTGAGCACATGTCTTTGTTGCATGGATGTGGATCATTTGGGTATATGCCTAAGAGGGGAATTGCCGGGTCCTGTGGTAGATGGATTCCCATTTTCCTGAGGAACCGCCATACTGATCTCCAAAATGGCTGTACAAGTTTGCACTCCCACCAGCAGTGGAGGAGTGTTCCTCTGACTCCACATCTTCTCCAGCATAAGTTGTCATTGGTGTTTCTAATTTTAGCCACTCTGGAAGGAATAAGATGGTATATCAGAGTTGTTTTGATTTGCATTTCCCTGATAGCTAAGGATGTTGAGCACTTTCTTAAGTGTCTTTCAGCCTTTTTGATTTCCTCTATTGAGAGTTCTCTATTCAGTTCTGTACCCCATTTTTTATAGGGTTATTTGGTGTTTCATTGACTAGTTTCTTGAGTTCTTTGTATATTTTGGAGATCAGCCCTCTGTCAGATGTAGGATTGGTGAAGATCTTTTCCAAGTCCGTGGGCTGCCATTTGGTCTTGTTAACTGTGTCCTTTACCTTACAGAAGCTTCTCAGTTTGAGGAGGTTCCATTTATTAATTGTCGATCTCAGTGTCTGTGCTACTGGAGTTATGTTCAGGGAACAGTCTCCTGTACCAATTTGTTCAAGAGTACCTCCCACTTTCCCTTCTAAGAGGTTCAATGTGGCTGAATTTATGTTGAGGTCTTTGATCCATTTGTATTCCAGTTTTGTGCATGGCGATTGTATTATTTTAGCTGTTTTGTCAAAAAATCAGGTGTTTGTAGGTGTGTTAGTTAATGTCTGGATTTTTGATTTGATTCCATTGGTCTACCTATTTTTGTGCCAATACCAGGCTGTTTTCAGGACTATAGCTCTGTAGTAGAGCTTAAAGCTGGGGATGATGATGCCTCCTGAAGTTCCTTTATTGTACGGGATTGTTTTGGCTATCCGGAGTCTTTTGCTTTTCCATAGAAAGTTGATTATTATCCTTTCAAGGTCAGTGAAGAACTGTGCTGGGATTTTAATGGGGATTGCATTGAATCCATAGATTGCTTTTGGCAAGATTGCCATTTTTACTATGTTGATCCTACCTATCCAAGAGTATGGGAGATCTGTTACAAGTGGTTTTTCCGCTGGTCTGGTCCCATTGCCACTCCAGCCCCAATTAACACACAGAGACTCTGTATTTGATATAATGCTGTTGGCCAGGTGCTAATTTCTTATCAGCTAGCTCTGTCTTAATGATTAACCCATTTCTATTAATCTAAGTATTTCCATATGGTCTCATCTTGCCGGAGAGAGGGACTGGCATTCTGCTTTCTCCAGTCTCTCCATGTTGAATACTCCCTACTATTTCCTCTTTCCTCCTTGTCTCCTAGTCCCACCTATCTTGCTTTCCTATTGGTCAACAGTGCTTTATTCATTAACCAGTATGAGACACATATTTACAGAATGACATCTCCTATCAGAGATCTTTCCATTTTCTGGTATTTTTAAGATTTTTCTTTAAAGACACAAAGTTCTTGCTATATAGGCCTTTCAGTTGTTTGGTAAGCATTACCCCAAGATACTTTATGTTGTTTGTGGTTATTGTAAAGGGTGATGTTTCTCTGATTTCTTTCTCAGTTCCTTTTTCATCTGTATATAGTAGGGCTACTAATTTTTTTTTTTTTGAGTTTATCTTGTATCCTGCTGGTTTGCTGAAGGTTTTTATCAGCTGTAGTCATTCCCTGGTAAAGTTTTTTGGGTCGCTTATGTAAACTATCATATCATCTGCAAATAGTGAAAGTTTGACTTCTTCCTTTCCAATTTGTATCCCCTTGATCTCCTTTGGTTGTCTTATTGCTTCAGCTATAACTTCAAGTACAATATTGAAGAGATATGGAGAGAGAGGGCAGCCTTGTCTGTTTCCTCCTTTTAGAGGAATTGCCTTAAGCTTCTCGCCATTCAGTTTGATGTTGGTTACTGCATATTGCTTTCATTGTGTTTAGGTATGTTCCTGTTATCCCTGATCTCTCTAAGACCTTTATCATGAAAGGGTGTTGAATTTTGTCGAAGGCTTTTTCAGCGTCTAGAGAGATGATCATGTGATTTTTCTTTTTCAATTTGTTTATATGGTGGATCATGTTGATAGATTTTCATATGTTGAACCATCCCTGCAACCCAGGGATGAAGCCTACTTGGTAATGGTGGATGATTTCTCTGATGTATTCTTGGATGCTGTTTGCCAGTATTTTATTGAGTATTTTTGCATAATGTTCATGAGGGATATTGGCCTGTAGTTTTCGTAGTTGTGTCTTTGTGTGGCTTGGCTACCAAGGTGATTGTGGCCTCATAAAAAGAGTTTGGTAATGGACCTTATGTTTCTATTGTGTGGAACAATTTGAGGAGTATTGGTATTAGCTCCCTTGAATTTTTGCTAGAATTCTGCATTGAATCCATCTGGCCCTCGACTTTTTTTTGGTTGGAAAGCTTTTGATGACTGTTCTATTTCATTAGGGGTTATAGGTCTATTTAAGTTGTTTATCTGCTCTTGATTTCATTTTGGTAAGTGATAATTATCC